GTTTTCTGGTGGTTTATTGGAGATAGGAGTCTCATGGTCTCTCCTGCCCGGGCTGGCTTTGAACCACGATCCTCAGATCTCAGCCTCCTGAGTAGTGAGGATTACAGGCGTGAGCCACCAGTGCCCGGCTTGCTTGTACTAGTCTTGGGGCTTGAATTCAGGGCCTGGGCACTGTCCCTGAGAATTTTTGCTCAAAGCTAGCACTCACCACTTGAGCCACAGCTCTACTTCCAGCTTTTTGGTAATTAATTGGAGATAAGAGTCTGTGGACTTTCCTGTCCAGGCTGGCTTTGAACTGTGATACGTGATCCTCAGGTCTCAGCCTCCTGAATAGCTAAGATTACAGGCATGATTCACCAGCTGTCAGCAGTTGATTTTTTTTTTTAAATAAACGTTTTGCCTTCTTTTTTGTGGGGGGGTCTGGTCGTGGGGCCTGAACTCTGGGCCTGGGCGCTGTCCCTTAGCTCTTCAGCTCAAGGCTAGCACTCTACCACTTGAGCCACAGAACCACTTCCGGCTTTTTTCTTTTTGCTTATGTGGTGCTGAGGAATCGAACCCAGGGCTTCATGCATGCAAGGCAAGCGCTCTACCACTGAGCCACCTTCCCAGCCCATGTTTTGCCTTCTTCATTGAGATATTTATTTGATTTTATTTCAGTATATTAGTATAGGCTCATTTTTTTCCTTTTTTATTTTTCTTTTTTTCTGTCTACCAAGGGCTTGAACTCAGAGCCTTGGTGCTGTCCCTAAGCTCTTTGGCTCAAGGATAGTGCTCTAATGCTTTCAGCCACAGCTCCACATCTGTTTTTTGAGTGGTTAATTGGAGATAAGAGCCTCACAGGGACTTTTCTGCCTGGACTGACTCATAAGGTCTCAACCTTATGAGTACTGGGATTATAGGCAGGGGTGAGCCACTGGTGCCTGGCTTGGAATCTTATTTTTTTTCAGTGGTTGTAATCCATTAGAATAATTGTTTTCTTGTTCCTTTCTTTACTTAAACTGTGCAGATAGTCAAGTTGGATGGCTGGCACAGAGTAAGAAGGGGGTTCTGAGTACTTTGGGGGTCTGCCAAACAGGCTCAGGATTACTGATTCATGTGGTTTACCCCAGCTTACCAAGGACCAACATGAAAGAGAAAATTGCTGTAGATTATGCTAAAGTGTAATGGTTGCTCTCTGGTTCAGAAAATAAAAGTAGTCACTTAGCGATAGTTTAGTCATTAAGGTCGCTACAACTTTTAGCAGGTGGAGGTGTTCATTATTCTGGGCTAGCTCAAAGTGCATATGTTGAAAAGGAAAAGGAAAAGGAGAGTTCAGTTTCACTGTCTTAGCACAAGATGGCAGCAGTCAGCCATTGATGTTGCAGCTCAGGGCCACCAGACTTAAATTTTAACAATGTGTTTTGGTGTTGCAGGGACTTCAGTACCAGTGTTAATAACATTCAGATCGACAAAACCAAACCTTTGTGGCACAACTATTTCCTGTGTGGACTTAAAGGAATTCAGGTAAACTAATTTGTAAGACACCCAGTAGAAGCTGAACCTGTGATGTATATTACGCCATTATTATGCATATTATATCATTTTCCCCCCTCCTTTCAATCCTAACTGGTATTTCGTGTTTGCTTTGTTAACTTGCTTCAGGAAGTGAGGTAGCTGTGACTGTTTCTGGGGGAGATCTTCACGGGGTGACACATAGCTGGCCAGTGCTCAAAAATGAGGTTCATCTGACAAACATCTGTCTGATTTTTACATCTTTGTTCATACTTTCTGTTGAGGATTTATTCTAGTAATATTATTTATATTTCATTCTTGGGCCATATGGGAGTATAGTGTAATGGGATTTAGAGTCAGACAGCCCCATGTTTGAGTCTGGGCTCTGTCCAGCTGTGTTCATTTAACTGAAGTCTGAGATTTATCTGTGAAATGACATCACTTCTGTGCTGGTCCTTGCGGGGATGATACAGTGCTTGGCAGCTGCAGGCAGCTAGTAAACAGTAATGTTTCTGCTGGTCCAGGTGGAGTGGGAAGAAGCAGTCATGACGTGTCTGAACACCAGGAGTTTCCTAGAAACAATGAATAATTACTAGGACAATCTCTTCATGTCACGTATAGTGCCCCAACAGAAAAAAAAATGCAATTTTCCTAGTTTCTCTCATAATTAAAGAAATACAAAGCACAGATAAACCAATATTTGCTGTTTTCAGTACCACGTTCATGTTTCAATATTTTATTTTAAATGTTCTGACTCTTGTAGCCCTAGGTAAAGGACATTAAGAGATGATTTTGCCTTTGTGAATCAAAAGCAAACAAGCCAACAAGCTGTGTTTCAGAGAGCTTGTGCTTCTACCCACCTGCTGGTCCTCAGTGACATTGCCCGCAAAGAAACATACCCGCCTGATTTCTGACATGTAGTGGTGTACTCTTAACCATGGAGGTGTGGTATTAGAGTTACTGCATTTGCTTCTTTCTTTCTTGAATGTGTTATGTTCTTCTTGATCACATGGTAATAACTTCTGGGAAAAGTTATTGACAGGTTTTAAATCTTCAGATTGCCTGGCTAGTGATACACGTTACAGCATTTTGGAAGCATTTGCCTAAAGTTGTATCTGATCTTCTCTTGATAATTTGCCATTTTGTTAGCATATGGGTAAAGTGGCCTAAGTAAGGCATGTTGTTATATATTATTATTATTATTTTTTTTTTTTGGTCGGCCGTGGGGCTTGAACTCTGGCTTGGGCACTGTCCCTCAGCTCTTCAGCTCAAGGCGAGCGCTCTACCACTTGAGCTACAGCGCCACTTCCTGTTATATTTTTTGAACCTTTTAGGGTTTAAAGATTCCTTCTTTGATTTGACAACTTCTGTGTTAAAAAAGCAAGTTTGTAACAGTGAACTTTTGGCAGAAAAAGTGATTTAAATGTTAGCCTGTTCAGAAACCTTCAAGTACTAGAAAGTTCCAGGGAATAATCTGTTTATATGCAACTGAACATGTTATCCTTTTGGGATAGAGCTATTGCAGAATTTGGCACAACTCATTTGTGCTTTTGAATCTGTTGTACATTTTAATTTAAACATTGCGTGATAAGTTTGTAAGTATGATTCACATTCAAGACACCCTGTGGATCCGTTTATAGTTAACTATAGTGTTCTCCAAGGATCACGTTTTTAAACAAGCTGTCTCATGTTCTTTAGGGAAGCACATTGGCAGCAGCGCAGTTTCAGTTCATAATTTGTTTGTGTTTCTGGAAGGAAATTTCTAGATGACTTGAAATCAAGAAGTACATCCAACTGAATCTCTTCTTTTGTGGTACATGAGTTTTGCCAACTAAGAAAAAGGACAAAACAAAAAATAAGGAAAAGAAAACCACTCTTTTATTTGCAAAGTCTTATTGTTCCTTTGTTATTCTAATGAGTTTATTGAAAATTCTCCCTGCAGTAGTATGTATGATGAAATATGTAATGAGGGAATGTAATAGTGTTTCATACTTTGGTCTTGAGTTTAATTTGTGAAGATGATGGCACCTTTTCTAGAGGAGGATATAGCCTTAAATTTGTATTAATCCTAAACCACAAAGGTTAGGGGAATAGTGTCTTCCACAGGGCACAGGGTCCTAGTTTTAGATAGGCTTATAAATTTATTAGGGCTATTTATCTTTAAGTTAAGGTCTGATTATTTCCTTGGGCTTTCCTATTAGGAGAAATAGTTTACCTGTCTCATATGGAGTCTGCATTCTCAGTTGTGGCTGAATTCAAATTTGGCTTTCTTTAAAGTTACCATATGGCTAACTTGTATTTATAAGCTCCAGTAAAAAGAAAAAAAAATCTGGATTTCTTCATATAGCTGACTTATATTAAATCACAGCGACAGTATGCTGGCCCAGGTTTCTAACTGCAGCCAAGAAGTCTCAACGGAGAACTGGGGCTTGGGGCCAGCTCCCTAAGTGGGATTTTGTGAGTCTCCTAATCTCCCGGTGCTTATGTTTTTTTCTATATGTAAAACAGAACTGAGAAAGTTGAAAACTCTTCCTTTATAAGTTTTCATGAAACAGACATTTTGTGTAAACAAGCTACTGGTAATTGTGTTTTTCTTATCTTGCTTGCATTAGGGTTGAATTATAATGGCCTTCTATTTTTCCATATTTGTTCAAAAATTAATGTTCCAGAAAAAAAATATTGAAGGCAATTGTAGGACATGAGTTACTAACTTTTTGTTGAACAAAATAGAAAGTAATCTTTGGACTTTCCTTACCTTGTGGCAAGAGTCATTAAACCTCATGCATGGTCTCGACTAAACTGAATGACATACTAGTTTCTGGAGATACAACTAGGTCTGTCACTATACCTTTATTCTCTGGGGAAATGAAAGACAGTTTTATGCTTCTTCAGTCTAACACCAACATTGCTATTGCTCTTCTGCCTTATCTTCTCAGGAGCATTTTGGTCTTAGTAATCCAACTGGAATGAATTGCCTGGTAGATGGAAATATCCCACCAAGTTCTGGCCTCTCTAGCTCCAGTGCCTTGGTCTGCTGTGCTGGCTTAGTGACCCTCACAGTGCTGGGAATGAACCTCTCCAAGGTAAGCCACCTGTGTCAGAAAACCGTTAAGAATCCTCTTTTAAAGCATTCACATCCCAGTCTCATAATCAGGGTGTCTTCCTTGATCAGGAAACTTAGTCTTGCCTGAAAGCACTGCATACCTAGGCAAGTATGGATACTTAGTAGTTTCTGCGTGTGATACAGCCATAAGAGATGGCTGATATTTTTTAAGCAGTGAGGGTACAGATCTAGATAGAATTGTGCTAAAACACTCGTGGACTAAACTTGGAATTCGAATACAGGGTATCTTTCTTTTTTACCCTGGTCCTGTGGCTTGAAATCCTGGCCTGGTCCCTGTCCCTGACCTTTTTTACTCAACGCTCAAGGCCAGTGCTCTACCATTTGAACCACAGCTTCACTTCTAACTTTTTAAAAGTTTATCAGAAAGAAGGGTCTCATGGGCTTTCCTGCCTGGACTGGCTTTGAACCTCGATCCTCAGATTTCAGCCATCAGTGCCTGGCAAGGATATCGTTTTTCTTTTTTTTTGGGGGGGGGTCCGGTCGTGGGGCCTGAACTCTGGGCCTGGGTGCTGTCCCTCAGCTCTTCAGCTCAAGGCTAGCACTCTACCACTTGAGCCACAGCGCCACTTCTGGCTTTTTTTTTTTTTTTGCATATGTGGTGCTGAGGAGCCGAACCCAGGGCCTCAGGCATGCAAGGCAAGCTCTCTACCATTGAGCCACCTTCCCAGCCTCAAGGATATCTTTTTTCAAAGATTACTTCATTAACTTAAATTTAGGTCAAGAATCTAGGCCTCATGGTTGAGACTACTTACATTCATGTCATGCTTTAAATATTTGATGAGCTGTGGGCAAAAAGGGTAAAGACCAGGAAAAAAAAAGAGACTGCAGAGCATGTCTGTTGATGCCAGTAGGCTAATCACTGAAATAACTCTAAAAAACACTGTAGTACACAGAGAAAATGCTTGTTTAGAGACTATATAAATCTGACAAGAGCTCAGAAAGTCTTATATGGACGTTATAAGCCCACATAAATCTTTGACATTGCCGTTCAGAGCAGGTGTGCTCAGCTTAGTTAACATTTTGGTGTTCTGGTTCGAATAAAATGTTCCCATAGGTTCTTTATCAGCTATGTGCATGAACCTTGTCAGCTTTACAGATGGTTTGATAACAGACAGGTATCACAGATGAAGAGAAAGTTAACTTCATTCCCAGTCCTTTAAGACATGTTTAAGCTGGGTGCCTGTAATCCTAGATACTCAGGAGGCTGAGATCTGAGGATCACAGTTCAAAGCCAGCCTGGGCAGGAAAGTCCATGAGACTCTTATCTCCAGTTAACCACCAGAAAACCAGAAGTGGCATTGTAGCTTAAGTGGTAGAGCACTTGCCTTGGCTGAAGAGCTCAGGGACAGTGCCCAGGCCCAGAGTTCAAGCCCCACAACTGACCTCCCTACTTCCCCCCCCCCCCCCCCAAAAAAAAACCCCCATAAAAAAGACACATTTAAGCCAAATGTCAGTGGCCCATGCTTAAAATCCTAGTTATTTCAAGAGACAGATCTGAGGATCACAGTTTGAAGCAAAAAAGCTTAGGGACAGCGCCTGGGCACTGAGTACAGGATTCAGGACTAGCAATAAATAAGTAAATAAATAAACTGTTGATCTGATAACACTGATTATGTAAGATGAGCTTATTAGCAGGCGAAAGGGACATAATGTGGAAATTCAAGTGTAATAGTGATCATAACTGACTGAAGAAATGAAAAAGGACTTACTATGGCTGGCGCATATTGTCTTTGGATAACAGTGGCGATCAGGACTGAGCCTTGTAAATCATGTTGAGGAGCCTTGTAAATCATATCATCATGATAGCTGTGAGAAGTCATTGCTGGGTTTTATGAAGAGACCAGCTCATATCTGTGCTTTAGAAAGATAGCTTTAGCTATATTATAAAGTCTGGATTTGAGGGGCTGGGAAGGTGGCTCAGTGGTAGAGCGCTTGCCTTGCATGCCTGAGGCCTTGAGTTCGATTCCTAGCACCACACGAGCAAAAAGAAAAAAAAAGCCGGAAGTGGTGCTGTGGCTCAAGAGGTAGAGTGCTAGCCTTGAGCTGAAGAGCTGAGGGACAGTGCCCAGGCCCAGAGTTCAGTCCCCACGACTGGACCCCCTCCCAAAATAAATAAAATAAAAAATAAAATAAAATAGAAATGCTATTCACCCATAAAATCCAAAAAGCAGAATTTATCAATCCTACTGGTACTGGTAGAAAAGAGTATAGTGTGGTCAGATATTTATGAGAAAGAATAGAGATTTCTGGTTCCAAGATGTCAGAATTAAAGAAACCACATATCTACTCTTTCTATCAGTTTTCTTTTTTCTTTTTTTTTTCTAAAGTCATTCTCAAACAACGGGGAAACTTAAGGGAAGGAAATACAAGCCCCGTGTTTGAGAAACCAAGTAGACATAAATAACCCTAAACCACAAAACACAAAGATGGAAAGTGGATGGAAGAACGGTGCATGACTTAGCAGAGAGGAGAAAGGTCACAGCCAAGTGCTGTGGAAGGGGATGTAGATGGAAGGAAGCTGACTCATCTACCGGATGACTTTTCTGGAAGTTATAGGAAGAAAGCAGGGTCGGATCGTTTGTGGATTCTTTTTTGTTCCTTGTGGCAAGGATCAAAGTCAGGGCCTTATGCATGGTAGGCCAGCCTTGTACCACTGAGCTACATTCCCAGTAGTGTGTTGGTTCTTGCAAAGTCTTTAGGAGGATTAGTTCGACCCTCAAAGCCTTCCTTTTCCTGGGACCTTTCCCCCATCTAGACTGGAGTTTCTGATGAAGTAGTAAAGACTTTCTAGACTTAGGGACATTGAGCACTAAGACAGGCAGGACAAGAAAATTGCCCAGGACAACGAATTCTTGTCCTGGGGAATTAAAGGACATGCTGAATGAACAGTGAAATTTCCAGTTTCCTTTGTTGGCCAGCTCCAGCACTTGGGCAGCCCCATAACTCTGCCCCCTACCAGGACTGCCGGAGGAAACAGGGCTGTCCCACAAAAACATTTGCAGACACTGACATTTGGTAACCTCCTGCCATCAATTTTTTTTTTTTACTCTAGAGGTTGATAGAGGCTCTTTTCAGAAATTCTAATCAGCTGTGTACCTCATTTTTAAATATGAGACTACAAGGATAGTCATTTTGGAAAAAAGCCTTCAAAATGAAGCAAGCAAACAAAGAAAAACAGGCATTCAGAGAAGCAGAGACAATGCTGAGAACAGAATTCTTCAAGAAGACAAGATATTCTCAGAGCTTAAAAAAAAAGAGCCAAATCCTTGAAAAAACAATAGTTTTTTTTTTAAGAACAGAGAAGAACTCGTGGATGATAGCTACAGCAAAAAATGCAATGACAGGATTTGAAGGACTAATTGGTAAAGTAGGAGGAAACGGGATGAACTAAAAGAGAGAAGACGAAAAAGCCCCAAATAGGAGAAACAGAGAAGACATTCATTAGAAATTTTTAGTTTTTAAATATAATTTCTCCAGAAAATTCTGTAAATTCCCAAATTAAGAGGCCTCACCTGGTGTTAGCATCATTAGGGGGAAAAAAGCCAAACCAAAGCTTACTATCTGGAAATGTTGAAAGTCTGTGTTAACATCAAAGACACTAAAAGCTGATTGAGGGGATGCGAGGAAAGAAGAGATCAGTGTCAAAGAATCAGAAATGAATTTCTCAAAAATAGCATTGTAAAACAGAGGCAACAGATTAAAGTCTTTTTTTGGGGGGCGGGGGGGTCCGGTCGTGGGGCCTGAACTCTTGGCCTGGGTGCTGTCCCTCAGCTCTTCAGCTCAAGGCTAGCACTCTACCACTTGAGCCACAGTGCCACTTCCAGCTTTTTCTTTTCTGCTTATGTGGTGCTGAGGAATCGAACCCAGGGCCTTAAGCATGCAAGGCGAGCGTTCTACCACTGAGCCAACTTCTTAGCCCCGAGATTAAAGTCTTTTAAGTAGCAGTGGGTTTTAGCTTAGGATATCTACATAAATGAATTGATCAAATGTGAGAATGATATTAAACTTTTTTTTTTTTTGGCCATAGTAGCAAAGTTTACAATAGAAAAAGTAGGAAGTGATGTTTTAGTCCGAAGATTTGGTCATCTGAAGCACGAGCAGAGTTGAAAGTGTTACCCTAAACCCGGTGCTGGTGGCTCACGCCTGTAATCCTAGCTACTCAGGAGGCTAAGATCTGAGGATCACGGTTCAAAGGCAGCCCGGGCAGGAAAGTCTGTGAAACTCTTATCTCCAATAAACCACTAGAAAACTGGAAGTGGCGCTGTGGCTCAAGTGGCAGAACGCTTGTCTTGAGATGAAGAGCGCAAGGACAGCGCCCAGGCCCAGAGTTCAAGTCCCATAACCACCACCAACAACAGCAACAAAAAGTTTCCCTAGGTGCATACCACATTGGGATAGGAAAAGAGGTGAGAACTCAGGATACCTTCTTTGCTCTAAGCAAAGAAGGTAGGTTTGTTCTGGTAGGTTATATGTATACACCCCTTTGGTGAAAGAACAATAAGGAAAAGAGTGAATAGAAATGCAATAGCGTGAAAAGTCCTCCTGAATGACCTCAGGAGGACTAGAAGAGGAAGAGGCAGGAAGGGATTCAGTGAATCAAGGCCAGAAATTGAGAACAGATGAACTGCTGGATTGTGACCAATTCGGAAAGGCTCATGGAGAAGCTTGTTGACGGGTTTTGGGTGAAAGCATCCAAGAAAATACAAGCATCGGCCATTTAATGGCAGGAATCCATTCCCCAAGTCAGATGCTCTGCACAAAATCTTTAAGCAGGGGCTTATTTCTTACTATTTTAAATAGGAACAGTTTAATGCATTGTTGTTCAACTCAAAAATCTCTATTTTCCTGCATTGTCTAAAAAACAAAAATACAAAATAAAGCAAAAACCCATAACATTTTCTCTGTGTAAACAATACAGAAGTAGTATGAAAAACATACTAATTTTCTTGAATATCAAAC